TGAGGGCCAGGGAAACTTGGGTCTTCCCCAGAACCCCCGTGAGTCCCTGGGGGTTTCGGGAGCTGGGGCAGCGTGGGAACCAGTGTGCAGGTGGCTGCTGCCAAACCAGGCAAGGGTTTCCCTTCCTCGCGAGGGGATTTGCCCCCCCCCCGCCCGGGACTCTGCCTCCTTCACCCCCAGACCGAGTGCAGGACAGTGAGGTCCGGGTCAGTGACGTTCCCTCTCCTGAGGGATCTGGAACATCCTCACTGACCAGAGCGAAGACACAAAGGGCCCTGAGGGCAGGCAGGGACAGCCTGGGGCAGAGCTGGCAGCTCCGTGGGCAGTGGGTGTCCTGCCTTGGTTTGGTTTGTGGTGGAGAAGGTGTTTTGTGGCCTGACAGTGCAGTCCCTCTCGGCCGAACGTGTTTGTGCTCTTCCCAGGTGTTGTGCAACCTGGGTAGCTGTTTTCTTCCTCTTTCTCATCCTCCCTCCTCCACTGAGCTCTTGTTTTCATCCTGTTGCTGCCAGGGTGGGGATGCGCCGGGTGAGTCACGCAGGGTCAGCTGTGTTTGTTTTCCCGGGAAGCAGTGGGCAGGCAGGGCTGATGCCTCCAAGCCAGGTTTTATCTCTTCGCTGAAACGGAGGGTTTTTCCATAGCCTCTTGGCATCAGGCCCTTTGCCCTCTCACCCTTTCAGCCTCTTGTTCTCCTGTTGTGTGCCCCAGAGCTTTCAGGCTGGGCACTGGCAGGACTCAGTGTGAGAGGAGAGCGAAGGGGCCGAGTGTCCTCTGGGCTGTTTGTGCGCGGCAGAGCGGGGTCAGTGCTGTCCGAGCCCCTCTGGCACTGCTCTGCTCCCTCTGACACAACAAAGGGGATTATTCTGCGCCGTTCAGCTGCTTGGCCGGGGCCCAGCGCGGCCTCGTGTCACTGCACGTCACCGCCCTGGGCTGCCCAGCTCTGCACGCAGGACGGGGCCAGTGTGCTGTGCCTGCTTCCAGCCCCTGCCCTGTGCCCTGGGCACAAAGGGCCATCCTGGGCAGCGAGGTGGGAACACATGTGCGGACAGACCTGCTGCTGTTGGGGTCACCTGTGCCAGGGCTAGACCTGGCAGGGTGGGAGAGAGGGAGCTGAGCCCAGAATGGGTCAGGGTGGGGGGGAGGGGCAGGTGTCTCTGCCTCCTGCCCCAGGCTGTGGGTGGCCATGAGCTGAGGGCAGGTTTGACAGCATCTGCTGTTGTCCAGGCTGTAGTTCCAGAAGCATCCGAAGCCTCGTTTGCTGTTACCCTCCTGAATGAGGCTATTCCATGGGCAAAGAGTGATCCCAGGCCACTCCCCCACTCCCCAGAGTCAGATATTTCACAGCGTCCCTTCACTGGTCCAGTGTCTGAACACTCTTTACATGGACGGAGGGAGTAAGAAACGTTCAGGCAGTTGTTGTGTGGTTTAAAACTTCACCATGTTCTTGTTTGTTTCTGGCTATTGGCTGTTTTGGAAGCAGCAGATGAGTCTCAACCTGGAAGTTTGCTCCCTGGGCCTGGAAACACTCAAAAGCTGACTCAGTCACTGGAGGCTGTGCAGCAGCACAGGAAGAAGCTGCCCCGTCCTCTGTCCCTGCCGGAGCCCTGGGCTGCAGCCTGAGCTTCATGTGCTTTTATTTTTAGCCCCTGAGCTGTGCACTGCAGCCAGTTTGGACTTGGTCTCTTTTCAGCAGTGACAGGCTATTTTTAGGGATTCAGTATGTTAATCAGAGCACCAAACACCTGATGCTTCCTTCCCCTGAGCTCTGAAGGGTAAACAGCCCTTTCTCCCGTGGCACAGCTGTAGTGTGTCCCCAACAGCAGCCCTGGGGTGGCCCAGACTCGCTGCCTGGCTCCAGGAGTGTCACTGTGAGCTCCCACTGGTCCCTCTGTGTCGCAGGGATACCACGGAGGGCCCTGCTGGATTGGAGGCTGCGGGACAGGATGGTGGGGAAGGAGCTGCTGCCCCACTCTGCACGGTGTCTGTCCTGCCTGTGAGCTGGCTGAGGTGGAGACTCTGTCCCAGCAGGAGCCCAGCCAGGCTTGGCAGAGGTCCCTTTTTCCCGGAGCTGTCTGTGGTTTCCTTCCTTTTCACAAACTGGTGCTCACGTCTCCTTATTGTTTCCTCACAGGCTCGTCTCCGGTTTCCCATCGACTACCCCTACTCTCCTCCTGCCTTCAGGTTCTTAACCAAAATGTGGCACCCCAATATCTACGAGGTGGGTCCCCACGGACAGCGAGGGGGGCCTTGGGCAGGCAGCGGACACGTGTGTGTCCGTGGTGACGGAACTGGATGCGAGTGTCAGCCTTTGTGTGGCTCTGGACACTCAGTGCCTGTGGTGCTGACTGGGAGTGCTGCTAATGAGCTCACGACAGCCAGTCGCTGTCCCAGCACGGGTTCCAGGTCAGCCAAGGCTCTCCAGGCCTGGTGGCTCCCATGCTCAGCCTGCAGGGATGTCATGCTGTGCCAAGAGCAGCAGCAGAGGCAGCGACGTGCCTGGCCCCAGGGCCGTGGCTCTGGGAGGCCGTGCTGGGGGCACGGGAGGGCCCTGCTGGGCACACAGTGTAGTCAGCATCAGCAACTGGTGGTTGGGCAGCCTGACCTTACAGTGCTGGCAGTCATGGTGTGCTTATCCAAGGCCTGAGGCTGTAGGGGCCACTCCTGTGTGCCCTCCTTGGGACTGGAGGAGCAGCTGGGATCACCTCACCTGGTGTCAGCCACAGCGAAGAGCAAGTGAGGAGCTGCTGCTGGAGGGTGCCTGGGGCAGCAGCTCCTGAGGATCATGTTTCTCTTGTGCTTTCAGACAGGTGATGTCTGCATCTCCATCCTCCACCCACCTGTGGACGACCCGCAGAGCGGGGAGCTGCCCTCGGAGCGCTGGAACCCCACACAGAACGTGCGGTGAGCGCTGGGGCTGGGAGACTCATCTAGGGCAGGGATGGGGAGCTGTGAGGATGGGGATAGCTTCCTGCTCCCAGAACCTGTGGGAGGTGCCAGGGGCTTTTGAAGGCACCTGGGCTGTGGGTGCTGCTGAAGAACAGCCAGTGCTTGTGTGGGATTGTGAGTGAGCCTGACAGCCTGTGTGCTGCTGTGCCTTGCCTGGCCTGCTCCTCCTCACTGTGCCTTGGGTGGGCAGCACCAGGCAGCAGAGCTGCTGGGACACCGGGAGGGCTGCAGGGACACAGGGCTGCTGGGACACAGGGCTGCTGGCACTGCAGGGGCGTGGGCAGCTGCTGACCCACCTTGGCTCTGACCTACTCATGTCTCGGTCGATGCCAGAACCATTCTCCTGAGTGTGATCTCCCTGCTGAATGAGCCCAACACGTTCTCCCCAGCCAACGTGGACGCGTCTGTGATGTACCGCAAGTGGAAGGAGAGCGAAGGGAAGGACCGGGAGTACACAGACATCATCAGGTGTGTGCTGAGCCCTGGCACGGCAGCGCTGGCTGGGCTGGGATCCTGTGGGACACGGGTTCTGGAGGGATCAGAGCTCCATCCTCACCCCCCACTTCTCGCCCTCCAGGAAGCAAGTGCTGGGCACCAAGGTGGACGCTGAGCGGGACGGCGTGAAGGTCCCCACCACACTGGCAGAGTACTGCGTGAAGACCAAGACTCCAGCCCCGGATGAGGGCTCAGACCTCTTCTATGATGACTATTATGAGGATGATGAGATGGAGGAGGAAGCAGAGAGCTGTTACGGTGATGAGGATGACTCCGGCAATGAGGAATCTTGATGGTCCTCTGGCACTGCGAAACTTAACTACAAACTACTGAATTTTACCTCAACTAGAACAAACTGCTTTGAATTTAGCATCTGTCAGCCCTGAAATTAACTCTCTACCTCGGAGGGAGACTATTCTGCCTTTGCAAAGGAAATCCCACCGCTGTCTTTGTAGGAGAAGCAAAAAACAACCCCCTGTTTTTGAACTCCTTGGGGGTGGGTGGGGTGGGGGAAGCTGCGTTGGGCGTTCACAAAGCCACAGAAACTGGTGGCTGTGTCTAGCTGAGGAGTGATGGCCAGACCTGGTGTTGGCTGCCCCTCATTTGGGCACGTTCAGCTCTCCTTCAGCTCCACAGGGGAGGAGCAGTTTGGGGAGGCTGTGGGGCCAGGGAGTGGTTGCTTTGGGGGGACAGTGTGTGAGCATTGTGTGGCTTTCAACACCTCTTGGGGCTGACCCTGCAGTCATCCAGGCCGTCCCCATGGGACTTTCCTGCTGTCCCCTGGGACCCTCTGCCACCCCTGCCCACGGTGCTGGAGCTGTTTGCAGGGAGTGGGCAGGAGGTGCTGCTGGCACTGGGGTGTGGGGATGGGCTGTTTGTTGTTTCTAACTCGCTGGGAGGGATGGGGTCATGCTGAGTCTTTTCTGCTTCTGTTTTTGGAAACTATTTAATAAAGTTCTTGCAGGGAAAGGCTGTGGTGTGTGGGGGAGGCTGTGACTGGTCTGTGCCCAGGCTGTGGGGGGTTCTGTTGCTGCAGGGTGGCTGTGGGTCTCACAGTAACCATTTTTGCAGAGTTGCCTGTCTGGAGAGCATCTCTGCCCTTCCTGGAGAGGGGAAGGCACAGTGTTCAGTGCCTGTGTCCTGGAGCTGGACCCTCTAGTGCCACACTGGGAAGGTGTTTTCCTTTCTGCAGGCAGCAGACCTGCCTGGGCAGTGTGTGGCTGTGCTGAGCAGTGGCCAAGGGGTGCCCAGGGCCTCGTGGCTGCTCTGATCTAAGCTCAGCTGGGTGTGCCCTGAGCCCACAGACCAGGACTGGCTGGGACACACAAGCTCAGGAGGCTGTGGTGAGCCCCTGCGGCTGCCCTGGGCTCCCTGCTGCCCTGCTCCAGCCTGGGGCATTGCACCTTCTCTGCCTGGGATGGGCTGCACAGCAATGCCACCAGCACCTCGGAGGCAGGGCAGGTCCTGCCCCCTGCACAAAGCTCGTCAGAGGGGTAGTGAGCAGAACTTCCCCTGGCTGGAGTCGTGCAAATGGGATCAGGGCTTGAGTGTGACACCTGCGACTGCACGCGGCGAGGGCATGTGCATAATGCCTTAGGAAATGAGGCTGAAAGGTGAATAGGATTATTGTCGCTTTATTCAGGCCTGGCAAATGGCTGCCAAGGTCACCCAGGCAGCACAGAGCAGCAGCCTCAGCTGCTGGTTCAGGAGAGGACCTGAACCTGCCCCTCACTGTCCCTTGGCAGGAAGGTCCTGGGGCCCTGTGCAGCCCTTCTCCTTCAGCCTGGGCCTTGGGGGCTCCCAGCAGTGCTGGAGGTTGTCTGGAGCAAGACTGACCCTTGGGCTCCACACTCTGCCTAATTCTTGCACCATAGGAGCTGTGCGTGCTGAATCCCCCCAGTGATCAGGGGGCAGGACATGCTGGGGACAGACAAGGGAGAGAAAAGCTCTGGGAGGATTCAGGAGCTCACAAGAGGCAGCAGATCCCTGCGGAGAGTGCTGGCGCCAGCAGCC